TACAAATGTATTTGAAGCATCTTAAATTTCTAAACTACCATAAATCATACCATACAATTGTAAACATACAAGACCATTTTACAAACACATTTTACAAACTTATTTTACAAACACATTTGAAGCATCTTAAATTTCTAAACTATCATAAATCATACCTAAATACAGACCCTTCATGTTGTCAATTTGGTCGGAACAGGGACGGCGACGACGGCGACGGTGAAAACGGTGAGGATGATGGTGGGCGACGGACGGTGCTGTTGTGGCGGTCGCAAAGGGGACAGCGGTGGTCGGCGACTGTGAAGAAGGTGAGGACGGCGGTGGTCGGCGACGGTGAAGACGGTGAGGACTGCGGTGGTCGGCCACGGTGAGGACGGCGGCCGTCGGCGACGCTTTAGACGGAAACCTGTCGCTCTCTCTCTCTCTCGATATCGCGTCTCTCTCTCTCTCTCTCTCTCTCGATCTCGATATCAGGTCTGTTAGAGGGATGTGGGCAAATGGAAAAGGAGGCTTAACCTAGCTTTGTTAAAAACAATCAGCGACGGACTGATTCCGTCGCAAATATGTTAACCTAGCTTTGGGTCTAAATTCCCTCGCTGATGATCTGCGAGGGATCAGCGAGGGAAAAGTTTTTTTGTCAGTTCCCTCGCTGATCCCTCACAGATCAGCGAGGGATCAGCAAGGGAATATGATTTTTGCAAATTCCCTCGCTGATCCATCGCTGATCTGCGAGGGATCAGCGAGGGAATTGGCAAAAAAATGATCCCTCACAGATCAGCGAGGGAATATGATTTTTGCAAATTCCCTCGCTGATCCCTCGCAGATCAACGAGGGAATTTGCAAAAATTATATTCCCTCATTGATCCCTCGCTGATCTGTGAGGGATCAGCGAGGAAATTATCTTATTTTCTTTTTTTTTTGTCGGGGCTTAACCCATTTAACTGGGTTTGTTCGGTTTTATTGGACCTTAATCTATTTACCGGGATATATTGAGTTTATCGGGCTTTAATGAACTTTATTCAGTTTTATTTGACATTGTTCGGTTTAATGGCCCTTTATGGGTTTTATTCGGTTTTATTTGGCCCAAATAAAACCCATTAAGTCCCAACCAAACCTAATAAAACCCATTAAGGCTCAAATAGAACCGAATAAAGCCCATTAAGGCCCAATAAAACTGAATAAATCTCATTAAGGCCCAATAAATTTAAATAAAGCCCATTAAGGCCCAATAAAACTGAATAAATCTCATTAAGGCCCAATAAATTTAAATAAAGCCCATTAAGGCCCAATAAAACCGAATAAAGCCCATTAAGGCCCAATAAAACCGAATAAATCTCATTTAGGCCCAATAAAACCCAATAAAGCCTAATAAAACCGACTCGACGAGTATATAAACATCAATCCAATCGTGGTTACAACCACCACACATTTATATATATCGCGTATACATGTGTATATATACATATAACAATTACAACATTGTGTAAACATATATATATATATATATATATATAACACGGGGCGACGGGTATATATATTTATAACACATGCATATGTGTGCATATAATACAAATCGCGGTTAGCAACCACAACATATATGTATATATATATATATATATATATATACAAACAACACATATACATGCATACATACGACATCAACATATAAAAATATGTACATATAACACATAAAAATGAGAAAATAGGATAAATAGAAGAATCCCTCGCTGATCCCTCACAGATCAGCGAGGGATCTGCGAGGGAATCTGATTTTTGGTCATTTCCCTCGCTGATCCCTCACAGATCAGCGAGGGATCTGCGAGGGAATGTGAATTTTGTCATTTCCCTCGGTGATCCCTAACTGATCTGCGAGGGATCAGCGACGGAATCTGATTTTTGGTCATTTCCCTCGCTGATCCCTCGCTGATCTGCGAGGGATCAGCGAGAGAATTTTCCTATTTTCTTGAACTTTATGTGTTATATTTTTATATTTAGCTATCGTATATATATATATATATATATATACACACACACAAACAACACATGACATGCATACATACGATTTCAACACATAAAAATATGTACATATAACACATAAAAATGAGAAAATAGGAAAAATAGAAAAATCCCTCGCTGATCCCTCGCAGATCAACGAGGGATCAACGAGGGATCAGCGAGGGAATGTGAATTTTGTCACTTCCCTCGTTGATCTGCGAGGGATCAGCGAGGGATTCTGAATTTTGTCATTTCCCTCGCTGATTTGCGAGAGATCAGCGAGGGAATTTGCAGAAGAAACTTCCCTCGCAAATCAGCGAGGTATCAGGGAGGGAATGTGAATTTTGGCAATTCCCTCGCTGATCCCTCGCTGATTTGCGAGGAATCAGCGAGGAAAACTTTTCCTCGCAGATTAGCGAGGGATCAGCGAGGGAATGAGTTTTTTTGGCATTTCCCTCGCTGATCTGTGAGGGATCAGTGAGGGAAAGTTTCCTTCGCAGATCAGTGAGGGATCAACGAGGGAATGAGTTATTTGGCATTTCCCTCGCTGATCCCTCGCTGATCTGCGAGGAAAACTTTCCCTCGCTGATATTCGTCGCTGATACCTGATTTTCTAGTAGTGATTCTGTTAGAACTCAATGATTATCCTAATTATATTTTAGATTTTTTATATTTAAAAAGAGATGTTTATCCTGTATTTGATTATGTTTATCTACAGTTAGTTACACGAATTCAGATATGGAGCTTTAATAAGTTGTACTTACGCGCAATATATTTGCAATCTTGAGTTTTAAGTAATATGCATTAATAAACAATATTTTACGCATAAAAAGTGGTTTTTAGAAGTTTTTGTCAAATGTTTTATAATATAGTCTAGATATAATTTATTAATTAATATATATATATATATATATATATATATATACGGGTAGGGGCGCAGGGCGGGGAGTGCGAAACTCGTCCCCGTCCCCTGTTTGAGAAACAGGGGATCCCCATCCCGGTCTCCCCGATGGGTCGGGGCCAATTCCCAAGACTAAAGAAACCAAATAATAAATGACCAAAAGAATACAAACTTCGATTTATTCATATGATATACAATTCAATTCACGAACAAAAGTATTTCACCTTGTTAGTAGATAAAGAGGTGTACAAGGAGAACTGTTCCATACATTCGAATGCAACTTCAGGATTTCTCTTGATTTCTTCTTCAAGTAAGGCGCATAGTCCACTTGAAGCACAATGCACAGCTTCGAAACAGCCCCAACCCTCATCATTTCCGCTACAACTTCAGCAGTTGCCGAGAACTTCCCAATTAGGGAAAGTATGTGCACAGCCCGATCATCGGTTCCTGGAGAAACCCTAAACATCCTCTTAGCCACCATTGCAATGCCACCTGCATGCTTGATCAACTGTGCTCTTCCATCAGCACATGAACACAAGTCAGCCAAGAGGGCAAACAGTAACTCGGATGCATTTCTTTCGATCCCATCTATCTCTAGTTCGACCAGCTCGAAAACCCCACCAGCTTCAACAATTTTCATTCTGTTTCTCCCCCAAGGGCACACATCGATTAACATTCGTAGAGTTGCTTTCACTGCTTGTGGAGATATTCTTTTTCTTATCACGTTTATGGCTTGCTTAAAGAACTCAAACTTCAGTCTCTCTAAAACGTTCGTAGCCACAACTTTCATGACCATACCAAGGATCAAAATTGCTAAGGTTTGGACCTCGATAACAAGATCATCTTCGACCATGTTGTCGGATCCTAAAACCCATAATAAAGAATCAATGAACTCGTGGTCTTCTTTGGGAATAATTAGTTTCTTCTGAGGGATAGTTAGACAAGTAAGATGGAGAATTTTCAATGCGTGACGGAGGCCGACAATATTCGTGGTGAGACGTTCCTTTGATAACTTGGTTATCAAAGAAACCATGGCACCAGTTGTGCCGGCTTCAATCAAGCACCGTCTATTCTTCTCATTCTCGCTCACTAACAAATACAACGAGTCTAACGAGTTCATGTAAAGCTCGGGGGACTTTAGGTTACGAAGGAGTTTTAAAACAAGGGATTTGCATAGAGGGGGTTTTGGGGTGGGAATCCGATCGATACCGTGATCAGCATTGGTTACACACCATGCTTGGATGAGGCGTCGAAGTGTGTGGTTGGGAGTCAAGTCGGAATCTTTTGGCAATGGTTGTTTGGTTACAGGGCACAGTACATCCTCCGCCGTAGATAACCAGTATTCTATGGTCTGGCGGTCGTATGTTATTCCGGTGATGGCCGTAACAGGGTCTTTCATGATCTCAAGTGATATGGGACAGATGAAGTAACGGGGTACTTCTAACGTTTCATGATCTTCCATCTCTTTAATGGATCTTGAAACAACAAATCAAATTTAATCTGTCTTTTAGAGAGAGAAAGAAACACAGAGAGAGAAAGAGACGCTTAATTGTTTCTCTATATTCAGAGATGATATGATGCTAACATAAAATGGTTCTATAAATATTCACAAAGGTTTGAATTCAATGAAGAAATGGCGAATGGTGGCTGCAAAGTTTGAAACTCTAGATATATAAATATATATATGTTAGCCATTTCATTATTTTGGTCATTATATATAAAGCAGTCAAACCCTAATTATAAACGTTGTGTTGCAACGGTGGTCAAACACAAGAAAACCAAATGAATACCAAGAAAAGTCTTGTGTTTGACTTTTCAACTCTAGTAGATCCACTTGGGGTGGCAGGTCTCTACTGTGGCTGGKATTTTACTTGGTAACCATGGAATGGAATGGAATGGGAAATTCTTGTCCATTAAATTGACGTACGGGATAAATCCAAATATACTTGTATCCAACAACCAAAACCAAACCACAAGGGTTGTGTCTGATTGGTTTGAACTTGAATCTAAAGGTCAAAAATACCAGGTTAAAATCAAAGGAGGAATAAAAATCCCTTGTGGCCACGGAGGTTCAAATGCGGTGACTCCGGGCTATCTGCAAAATAGGTGGTCCCCTTAAGATTAGTCGATTCGCATAACGGATTAGATATCCAGGTTAATAAAAAAAACAAGCAAAACCATTTTTTAAGAAAAATAAGTTCAATAGAATAGTACTTAAATATAGAGTTAGACAGCAAGATCAATGAAGGATCATTTTGATGATGCCATGAACTTGGGCCAAAGTTGATTGTCAATTCTTTCAAAGAAATATAAATGGTATTGTTTAACATTATAACATATGTAGGGGCGGGTTTATTTGAAAACCCATTTTTTTGTGTATATGAGGATTGATCACACCTATTGATCAAAAATAAGATTGAATAGATGAAAGACTGAAAAAACGTGATGGCAGTCTTGTAAATACTATGAAAAGTCTGACCGTGGCCTATCTAATATGAAGTGCGTAAAAGTAAAACTGGAAAAATAGAAATGACAACTTATAATCCTAATTCTCACGTAGACCATAATCATCATGCAGGAAAAGCACATGGAAGAAAACTCAGACGGTTTCTCCATCATTTTTCCCCAAATTTCTCTCATTGAAAACCGACGTTATCGATGACTTCTATAGAATCATACTAAAAAAACTGAGACTAAATGTGCGATTGCAAGGAAGAGAGAACAATCACATACCTATCGCACTAGATTATCCATCAAGGGGTTTTTATTGCATAATAATATCTAGATTCTGAATAGTAAGGGTTTTTATTCGAGATTTAACAATTAAAATCAACGATTAATGATTGATAGGGAAAAAGAGAAGTGAATGTATAGCAAAAACATCTTCATTAGAACAAAATCCTAAAATTATTGTTAAAGAAACAAAAAGTATTGAGATTAAGAAGTCGAAATCGAAAAAAATGAAGACAACAAAAGATTCTACTGGTACACTTCTATTTATGAACTTAAATTTATGTGAAAAAATATTCTTCGACCTAGTTATATTCGATGATTAGATGTTTGTCATTATCAGTAATAACATGAATAGAAACATGCATTCATAATCGATAGATTTTTTTACTTAATAATATAATCTGAGGATGCATATATTTAAAATGATGATTTAGAAATATTATTCATGAAAAATCTAACTAAAAAACAAAATATATCATAAATAATTCATGATTAACATAAAACCAACGACACTTCATATTAACAATGAATTAAACATTTTATTGAAAATTAATAAAACAATAGAATGGATAACCGATAAGAGCAAAACAATCACCAAAGGGCCTTTGGCCTAGCGGTATCGTAGCCCTTGGCCTTCTAGGAGGTTAGGGTTCAAACCTCACCATAGTTGAATAAGGTGTATGAGTTTATTTGTTGCATTTGCCGTATATAAATATTATATACTTCAAAAAAAGAGCAAAACAATCAAAAAAAGATATCGGAGAAAAAAAAAGAATTGAACTCTGTTTGGAAAATATTGATCATGCCAAAAATGCCCTTGAAGCCACATATAAGCAGCGACTAAAATCTAGACCAAATCAATGGTCAAAATTAATTCTCATATTCATAAAAAAAATAGGTTTTTAAATGAACTTTTCTCTATGTATGTATTGATAATTACCTTGACAAAAATAAAATTAGTTACGTTTGCATCAAATTAATTAAGTTGATTTGAACCAAACTTTTTTGTGTATATATATATATAGAGAGAGAGAGAGAGAGAAGAAGAAGGAGGATACTCGCACAATGTAACGAGATACATCTCGATTTTAATGTTTTTATTCTTTGTCTCTATCGATATTATAATACGATTTTATGTGTTTTTAAGAAAGCAATAATGATTTTATTTTGAATAATATATAAATTTGAAAATATCATTAAAATTTGAAAAAAAAAAAACCAACTATTAAAAAGTTCTCATTTTTTATGTAATTTTATTTATTTATTATAATT